GAATGCTCTCCTTCGAACATGATCTGTCTTTTTATGACACAAAACGACCCTGAAAATCCCAGGTCGCTAGCTCAATAGGGTATTCCGGGTAAGCTTGGCGCCGGAAACGGGAGGCGAAGATGGCGCTGGTTCGCTCTCAGCCTCATGGCTTCTGTAACCGTGCGTCTGCTGTCAATAGGGTATTTCAATGGAGCGCTGCCCGGAACTAAGAAGAACAAAACCGGATACAGAGAGCGGTGGTGGGGGCGGGCGCGCGTGGGAGCGGAGGGCAGGCGGGGAGGCTCCCCTCCACCCGCCGCTCCTCCGCGCGCCCGCCCCCACCACTGCTCTCTGTATCCGGTTTTTGTTCTTCTTAGTTCCGGGTAGCGCTCCATTGAAATGCCCTATTTAGATGCGAGATTATTAACATTTCAGTAAACATTTAGAAGCGAGATGCGTAATTCGTTTCTTTGTGGTTGGTGGGGCGAGATACTAATTTCCCTTCGACATTAAGAGTGTATGCTTATGCGACCCCGTATATACTAGCTGGGCTGGGCTGGGGCTATGCGCCGGCATACTAGCTGGGCTGGGGCTGGGCGCTGGCTGGCTTGTACTTTAACTGGATCAGGCTGGCTTGCTTCTGACCAAATGTAAAAGTCAGCCGATAAACGACTGCTTAAAAAAGACCCACAAATCTAGCAGTCTGTCCTAGTGAAACTATTGATGTCTCTGATAATGACTCTGAAGACCACAGTGATGGTGTTCTCAACAATGATTCTGATAATGCTAGCAGCACATCCGATTCATCTTCTGACAAGACCAAGGGCTCACGGTGCTCTCAAAATGTTGGTGGTAAGGATAGGGTATTCCGCTGCAAGCCAACCGGAACCTAAAGAAGAAAAGCATGACTGCTCGATCTGTTTCCCTCTGCGCGCTCATTGGCTGACCGCCACGGCCACGCCATCTTTGGCCAATCAGCGTTCAGGAGGAAACAGATCGGGTAGTCATGATTTTCTTCTTTAGGTTCCGATTGTGTTGTAGCGGAATACCCTATTGTCTAATCGGTGGCCTGCCATTGTTAAAAATTTATCTGTGGGTGCTAGAGACACTTTACGATCCTGGCCAGGCGAATCGCGCCGAGCGGACGTTTGGATGCAGCGCGCAGCTCATTGATCTAGCGCGGCACGGCACGGAACGCCCGCCCAGTCCCGCGCTTTGGCCGGGTGGCCGGTCCGTGCCGTGCCGCGCAAGGTGAGCAAGGCGGCGCGCGGTATCAAACGGCGCGGCGCGATTGAAATTTTAACACACGTCGTGCTGTTGGGTAAACGATGTCGTAGAACAACGGAGGGAACGGCATTGGAATCAGACGATCAATACGCACCTAATAACTAGCTATATGTACGCAAGACCAAGTCTCGCGTAACAGGCTTCGCAATATGTTACGAAACACTGTTATGCTGCGACGCGCCTGGCGGACTCAAAGCGAGGCCTGCGGCGCTGACACCCGAGACAAGTTAACAGGGGAATATACGGAAATAGGGCCTTTCGGCGTTGCCCCGTTACAGTCTTGTGTCATGTTTAAGAAGCGAATCTCTAGGGTCGCAGGCTCCCCGCCGGAAGCCTTAGGTTACTAGATATGCAAAGTGACTTACAGGCCACATTATTTGATTATGTTCTTCAGTAAATCGCGTGACTGAAATAGTCGAGCTGCAGGCTCGACCATCGCCGCCGGCAGGCAAAGCAGGCCCGGCCCCTGGCGAACAGAGTTGCCGGCGCAGCGAAGCGGAGCTGGCAGCCCCGTTTTGCGGAAGGGCGGGCCTGCTTTTTTTTGTGTGTAACTGTCACTTTTAGAGGGGATCCAACTTCCGCCTGTAATAGATGGTCGCTGGAATTAAAACAACTTCGATGCCAAGAATTGCAAACTTTTGTTCGAACCGCGATTTACTCCGTCGGTGCAAATGGTCACGTCCTCATAATTTTTCTCAATGCGTGCATTTCTTATCGTGCTCACAGAAGTCACGACCGCCAACAGGTACGGTTCGAGCTATAAAGTGGTTGCCACGCAGATAGAGTAGTCAGTCCTACGCTTCACTGACAGCCGAGAGAACACCTGGAAAGGCAAAAGAAACAGTGGCATAAGAATTACTCCGGTTGTAGCCCTTTCTTCTGCCGTGAAAGAGGAAAGAGGAGAAAAGGTAACCATTGTGTGGGGTTCATCTTGACAAAAGAATACGAAAACATTTTATGCCCGAAGTTGATTGGAATTGAAATGGCAGTTATCCCCCCAAGTTGGAACTTTGGTCGTTTTTGTCACCTTTGTCAGTTTAGGGTACAATACTTTGTCGTTTCGACTCTGATCAACTCGGAGGGTAAGACACTTCCTTTTTACATTTTGCAACGGGAACCCAAATCAAAATTACAACTTCAATTTTGAAACTTGTGATATATTCAAATTTGGCAACTTAGTCTATTTAACCAAAATTTAATGCTGTCCACTTACAGAATGACTGGTAGGTTGTTTCTTAATCTTTTAATAGAAACATGTTAACTAGGTTATACAACTCACAAGTTACTTGAACAGGAATAATGATCCTGGAAGGGACCGAACGACATTGTAGACAGCATCACAACTTAGGGTAAAATTATTTCTGCGAAAGCAGAGCAAGCAATTTTGTTTTCAGACATCAACTTCCTGTGACATGAGTTATATTGTATTAATTTATGCTCAAATCAAAAAATATCTGCACCGCCAGCTTATTAACTTGCATTAAAGGGACTATCTCCCAAAAAGCATTTTTGGTACATTTGTAATAAAATTAGTTTCTGGCCCACTGTATTGTATAGGTGTAGGGATAGAACCTGAGAGTATATTTCTTAACACAAGGGATGGCTTAACAAATTAACAATATCATAATGAAATGAACTTTACTTTAAAGATGTCTCAAGTGTGTACTTCTATTTTCATAGGATATCTTCTTTTACAGCTAACGTGCAGGATTCCTCTGGAGAAAATGGTGGTAAAATACAGATCAAAAGCTTCTTTGTTTCAGTTCATCAAGGACTAAAGATTGACAAAGGGGTTTTACTGAATTTTGAAAACTGAAGATTATTCATAACAGATGGCTTTGTAAATATATTTTGTTTTACTCAAAATATAGGAAAGTTTTTAGTTTTTATAAGAGAGACGAACATGAGATGCCCTAGTAGCACAGAATTGTCGTACGACTGTCGGACAACAGTAGAAAAAAGATACGGACTATCGGTGCGATATACGAAATGAGAAAAATGATTCTATCGGTATACTATCTTTTTTCCTCGAAACGAAATTCTTTATCGGCCAGCTATCGTAATGGAAGCAAAATGCCACTGTTGTGGATTCGATCAGGAATCGATAAAAGTACAACAAAATGGTAGGGTTTAAATTTGATAGACCAGCGACAATCGTCTGACTATGGAAAAGCCATCACTTTTGGATTTTCGTTATCGTCATAATAATACGACGATAGATAAAAATAACACTATGTGCGACAGTTTTGTGTTACTAGGGTGCTTTGGAACGACCCTGCACGGTTCCTTTGATAATCGACCTCCCATTTGGTATGTTTCGTGACAAGAAAGAGCGATTTAACTTCCCAGAACCGGTGAATGTTTGAAGTCGAATGCTGAAAGATGAGGTGTAAGGACTCAAACACTAGGAATGAGGTCAAAAAGCATGCAAACAAATCAAGAGAAGCGAATGTATCATTCTTCCCCAATTTAGTGGTGTCTTACTTTTCCTCGACCTGATTCTACAGAGAATGGACGTGTTGTATTTCATGGGGGTGGCGATGACGTTGGCGTTTGCTGGAGCTGCCACGGATTACTGCGCGATATGTTCTGATCACACTCTCTGTCTTTACCAAGTAAGTTTTAGGATCAGATGCGTACTTAAGTACTGCAGGAGCTTGCAAGTGAATAGGCTATAGGGAATCTCTAACCTGCCTGTAAACCGGCGCATGCGCCCCGCTGTACCGCACACAGCTAAGCGACTTATGGAACAGCTTCATGTATCTATTCCGCAACTTCTAGGAGAAATCCTGTGCTATATCTCACCTGTCATCTGACACAAGTACGTAGGTCATCAAATTTCCGAAAACCACTTTTTAAGACCAAACTTACCAGAAACATGTTCTACATCCAGTGCAAATGGAATTTTGGGAAAATTCCCCATAGGTAGCCCGAGGCGGACATGGTGCAAAAGTACGCATGTCATATGTCATCTGACAAAAGTCAGATGACATGCGCACTTTTGTTCAGATTATGACTGACATGCGCACCTTCTGTCAGATGACGATGACATGCGTTCTTTTGTCAGATGAGACCTCTGGTGACATGCGCATGTTAGTCAAATGACAAAGACATGCGTACAGTTTGTCAGATGACGCTGACATGCGCATATTTAATCAACAGGTGAGGCTGTTTGGATTTAACAGAGGATACTAATTCAGCAAATAGGGGACAGAACAAATGTGATTGTGGGCCGTATTCTAGACTATTATTTGCTGTTTTGTGAGGTCCCAAATGATTTACCTTGAGATAAGGCTGTGAACTGTATTCCTTGGTTGTCATAGTGAGGAGAAAAATAACGCAAACCACATTTATCACAATGTTAAGGAAGACAACACCACGCCTTGCGAATTCCACGTGGAAGAGACTTACACTCGCTGTGTGTAGAACCGAGATGACAATCAAGGACACAATTTCAAATAATATCCACTAAAGTCAAAGCCCCGGCCAGACGACTCGACCATAAACAAAACATCTTTTCACCACTTTCCCTTTCTGCTTGCTATCGCTTACTGGCACTTCGCGCTGGGCGTGCGGATAACGGTTCCGTTGTGTGCCTAATGAGACCAAATACAACAAAGTGGATGGTGGGCAGTCGATGACAGTTCTTACCGTTTTGAATGTCTTGTGTTTGGTGTTTCGTCCTGACAGTCACCAAGACATGGCTCGCGAGTATTTGCCACCCTTTTCACAGCCAGCCTGCCATCAACTAGTGCAAATTTTAGCTCGAGATTTCGTGTTTTCTTGTGTATTGCACCAGTATGAGTGGAGCGAAATAACCAGTTCACAGTTCACAGCCTTATCTCAAGGTGGGACTTCACAAAGAAGCAAATAATAGTCTTGAATAGGGCCCACAATCACATTTGTTCTGTCCCCTATCTGTTGAATTAGTACTATCTGTTGAATCCAAATAGCCTCACCTGTTATATGCTCATGTCAGCGTCATCTGACAAACTGTACGCGTGTCTTTGTCATCTGACTAACATGCGCATGTCACCAGAGGTCTCATCTGACAAAAGAACGCATGTCATCGTCATCTGACAAAAAGTGCGCATGTCAGTCATAATCTGAACAAAAGTGCGCATGTCATCTGACATACGTACTTTTGTCAGATGACAACTTGCTGTCAAAAGTGCGCATGTCACTCTATCTTCTAAACTGTTGGATTTAAGTCAATTTTTTTTTGTGGAAGTATTTGTATCACCCAATTGTAACGCACTTCTGGGTGTCATGTCTAGTAAATTTATTATAATTAATCTGTAGCACAAATAAACGTTGCTCCTGTAAAATTTTGATTTTGTGACATACGTACTTATGTCAGATGACAGGTGATCTTTGAGAGCCCCTGGAGGACGAAAAGTGTCATTTGTGCCCTGTGGACCTGTCTTTGGACCCTTTCACGGTGCCGTGAGCGTTGCTGATAGACCTTGCAGATTGCCATCTTAAATCTTGTATAAGTACGTATAATATTATATACGTATACCCAGCCAATAGTTCCCTTCGGGGACTGGAAGAGGGAAAATCGCCTATGCCCGGGCAATAGAGCCCTTCGCGGTCATTAAAAAGACACCTTTCGTTTTCCGACGTAGGTCACAAGCGCTACAGATCGCAAGCGCTACGGGTCACAAGCGCTACAGCGGTGGGCGCTACGGTTCGCAAGCGCTACCGATCACAAGCGCTACAGCTCACGACTGCTACGGGTCGCAAGCGCTATGGGTCACAAGCGCTACTGCTCACAACCGCTACAGGTCCCAAGCGCTACAGCGGGAATCCGAGTGATAGGCGGAACCGACTGTAGACAGTGC